GGGGCAGGGCATGGTGCCGGGTCAAGTCTTGAATAGCTTTATGCTCTTGCACTTACAGTGTTCCTTTGGCTTCATATATGAACGTGAACAACTGGAGGCGACGTGTCCCCAGTGTCACCAGACCTTCTGTGTGCGCTGCAAGCGCCAGGTGAGTCACCTCCCTTCAGAAGTGCTGACTAAGCTATCGCCAGGTTCTCTATTAGACTCGAGGAGTATACTGGAAACAGAATGGTCGTGCTCTCGGCTGAAAGGGCTTTCTGGGGACCTAGGGCGATAATGCAGTCAATAAAGTGCTTGGTGTAAGCATGAGGTCCTGAGTGCAGTCCCCAGAACCTGCAGAGACGGCTCAGCCATGAAGAGTCCTGGCTGCCCTTCCAGAGGACCTGTGTTTAGTTCCCAGCCCCCGCATGGCAGCCCATACCTGTCTGTAACTCCAGTTCCCGATCTCACAGCCTCTTCTGGTCTTCTTGGGCACCAGGCACACATGTGGTGAACAGACATTCATGCAGTCAAAACACCCATGTACATTAACTAAAATAAATAAAAGTTTGGGCTGGTCAGTGGTAGCACATACCTTTAAACCCAGCACTACAGATGCAGAAGCAGGTGGGTCTCTGAGTTTGAGGCCAGCCTGGTCTACAGAACTAGTTCCAGGACAGCCAACGCTGTTATACAGTGAAACCCTGTTTCAAAAAAACAAACAAAAAAACAACAACAACAAAAGAAAAATTGAAAGCTGGGTTAGAGCCAGTGAGTCAAGGTATCCTCACCAGACCTGACATCCTGAGATCTGGGTCCAGGACCCACGTAGTCCAAGGGCAGACCTGACTTCTGCTAGTGGTTGTCTGACCCCACAAACACTGAATTTTTAAAAGAAAAATGTAATGCCAAATCTGATGGAAGACGCTTGTAATTCCTGCGCTGGCGGGGGCCGGGGGCTGTTGACAGGTGGACCCTGGGCTCTGCTGGCCAGTTACCAAGTCCTGTTGGAGTTCCGGGCCAGTGAGACGACCTGTCTCAAAAAGAAGTGGTACGAGGCGTTCTCCTTGGCCTCCACGTACACACACATGCACAGAGAACAAAGGCTTCCCAGGGAAGGAGCCAGGCTCGGAGAGAGAAGTAAAGGAAGGGAGGAGAGTGGATGTGACTGCACACAGGCAGGAGTTCTGTCAGGAAGCGAGGAGAGCCTAGACTGCCGGAAGATGGAGAAGCCAGACAGGCGCTTCCTCCCCCTTTAGTTTTGGCTTTCTGAGAGAAGACTTTGCCCAAAGTGGTCTAAAACTTGCTGCCATCCTGCCTAATCCTCACGAGTGCCAGGATTACAGTGTGCTCCATCACACCCAGCCACACCTCCTCAGAGCTGCTTACGCACAGACCTACAAGTGAGGAAGCCAGCCATGCAGAAGGTACTTGGGGGCAAAAAACAAGCCGCAGAAAGGCCAAAATCAGGAAAAAAGAAAAAAACGATGTGTGGTTGGAGCCCTGAGCAAGAGTGTGAATGGCAGGGCAGCCCTTGAGGCCGAGTGATCCAGACTTTGAGACTGAGCACAAGGTGACACTGTCATCTGTCTTGAAGAAGGTTGGTTTGATGCAGAAAGCCTTGTATCTGCTCTAGAAAATAACCAAGCGAGCCCGTGTCCTACCACCACGCCTCAGGGTGGCATGCTGCTCGCACTGGGAAGCTCCCCGATACCCACTTTGAAAGGGAAAACTGGGGTGGAAGAAGCAGGGCACTAAAATCCAAGCGAGTATTTGAAGCAAGATTTGACAGTTACCTGGAGTATGGTGATAGCGTAGGAACAAAGAGGTGAGGTTTGGACGGGAACAGCCAGGGTTTATGAACGAGTGTATAGTGGTTGGGGAAATGAAAAACAGTGGCCCCTCGGTTTTAGGATCTGAGTGAGTGGTAGATAGCAGTAACGTAACTGAGTTGGGCCCCATGGGTGTGAGTAGCCGGACCAACAGGACAGACTAGGGCATGGGGTAGAGCTTCCAAGCACAGCCCACTTTCCTCCTGGCAGTGGGAAGAGCAGCACAGAGGACGGAGCTGTGAGGATTTCCAGAACTGGAAACGCACCAATGACCCGGAATACCAGGCTCAAGGCCTGGCCATGTATCTTCAGGAAAACGGCATTGGTAAGGCTGCCCCACTGAGCCTGTCTGCTCCATAGCCCTGTGGGCAGAAGCTTCCTTCTTGAGGGCCCGGGCTGCAGTACTGCGCTCACCCTGAGCTACTGCCCCTTACAGACTGCCCGAAGTGCAAGTTCTCCTACGCCCTGGCCCGAGGAGGCTGCATGCATTTCCACTGCACTCAGTGTCGGCACCAGTTCTGCAGTGGCTGCTACAATGCCTTCTACGCCAAGAACGTGAGTTCAGAGAGCGGGGGAGGAGAGAGGGGTGGGCAGCTGTGGGGGTGGGGGCAGGGACTAGGGGAAAGCAGTGGTCGGCAGGATAGAAAGCATCTCCCTACCCTCTTCCCCTCTTTGCATGCTCCAGACCCTCAATGTCACAATCTCCTCTCACTCCCGTGCCCTCCCCCCTTGCACAGGGGTTCTTGAGAGTCCAGGACCCCAACAGTTTCCGACTTCCTTCTCCTATTTGGGTTTTACCAGAAATGTCCAGACCCTAATTGCAGGGTGAAAAAGTCCCTGCATGGCCATCACCCTCGAGACTGCCTCTTCTACCTACGAGATTGGACTGCGGTCCGGCTCCAGAAACTGTTGCAGGTCAGAGGTGGCCAGCCAGGCTGGGTGTGAAGATTACTAGAAGGAGACAGGGTACGGGATGGGCAGGAACGGAAAACACTGACTGCTAGGAAATGGGACGGTGGCTGGATAAGGGAAGCAATGTCCATATGTCTGTCTCTACTTCTCTCTAGGACAATAATGTCATGTTTAATACGGAGCCTCCAGCTGGGACCCGGGCCGTCCCTGGAGGTAAGTGTTAGGGAAACCTCTGAAGTGGAGATGGAATACTGGGTTCCCATTGTGGGTGAAGAAAGGAAGGCTTGGATCTGGGGTTGTGTGTCCTTTGGCGAGGTAATTAACAACCTCCCCATGTCCTGTTTCTTCCTGTGAGGTGAGGATAATATCCACCTCATGGTTAAGCTGTATTATGAGGTATCATTAAAGCACTTGGCCCTTAAGTCTCTTCTTGTGTTCTCTAATGGTTAGGATTCGATAATTAACATCGAGTAACTGATGCCTGCTAGTTGTTTTAGGTTTTAGGCTACTATTTTAGGTTCTGTGTGGGGAACAAAAGATGTTGAGTAAGGATCTAACCTACACTATTCAGCTTCTAGGCAAAGACCTCCAGAGAGCTGGTCTATGGTGGCACACGCCTTTAATCCCAGCACTTGGGAGGCAGAGGGAGGTGGATCTCTGCCGTTCCATCCCAGCTTGGTCTACAGAGCGAGTTCCAGGACAGCCAGGGCTGCGTAGCGAACCCTGTCTCAAAAAGGAAACAAACAAGACCTTTAGAGAATAAATTGGCTGTAGGACCTAAATAACAACCAGGAGAGCAATTTTAAGAGCATGTGACAGACCAGCCAGAGCTATGCAGTGAGACCCTGCACCGTTCCCCTGCCCCCATAAGAGAGCTTGTGATTATGGGTCATAAGCCACTGTGATAGAAGTGAGGCAGCCAGGCCTCCAGCCATTCCCAAGTCTCTCTGCCTCCGAACCCTCCTTCTCCAAAGTGTGACATAACCACTACTGACAAGCAGGTTTCCTGGGCCCAGAGCCCCTCCCAACGTGGACCCGTTCCTTCCTTCCTCTTAGGTGGCTGCCGAGTGATGGAGCAAAAAGAGGTTCCCGATGGGTTCAGGGATGAAGCTTGTGGCAAGGAGACTCCAGCTGGCTATGCCGGCCTCTGCCAGTGAGTGCCTGCCAGAGCATGGAGCATGGCATAGGGATGAGGGCTAGGCCGGAAGATGGGGTCTCTGTTGGTCCTTGAGGAGGGAGGGACAGAGGGAGGGGCCCCCTGGGTAAGGGTGTGGATGTGTAACAGCAGGCAGCTTAGAGATACTGGTGGACACTCCCTGCAAGTGGAGCAGGCAGAGGAGCTGTAGTCTTGTTCATGTAAGAATCCCAGTGTGTCCGGGACAGCCAAGGCTATGCCACACAGAACCCCGGTCTCCAAAACTAAACAAACAAACAAATCCCACTGTGATCCCCTGAGACAACTGTGTGTGTGTGTGGGGGGGGGGAGTGTTAGGTGCTTAGTGCCGGGCATAGGGACCAGAGTTCTGCCCCTGAAGCCCACGTGGTAAAAGGAGAAAACCAACTCACAAGTGGTCCTCTGCCCCGCCTGTGTTCACTGTGACATGAGTGTGGGTGCTTACAACATAACACACAATTAAAAAAGGAGAAGGGCAAAGCCCAGCGAGGTGTTAGGACCACACAGTTAATAGGACCGCACTCTTGATAACGGAGGAGTAAACATTCTGCTTCCTCCTCTCCAGGGCACACTACAAAGAATATCTTGTGAGCCTCATCAATGCCCACTCATTGGACCCAGCCACCCTGTATGAAGTGGGGGAGCTGGAGACAGCCACTGCCCGCTACCTCCATGTGCATCCCGAACCGCTGGATGGAGAGGACCTTCCTGCCTACCAGGCTCGATTGTTACAGGTAACACTGCCAGCACCCAGCTTCACCTCTGCCCTTGCCTTCCAGAATCACCTGTCACAGCCTGTTTCTCCTCTCCTTTGCAGAAGCTGACAGAAGAGGTTCCCTTGGGACAGAGTATTGCCCGAAGAAGGAAGTAGCTGAGGGCAAGGGTCCTGACGAGGCTTCACAACCCTGCCCTCAGCAGCAGCTCCTTCCGGCACCAATAAAGAGGCGTCTTATGGCCTAGGCTTCTTGGTGGTCCTTCTTCCTGGCCTCACCATCTAGGGGCCTTGGGAAAGTGGGGGGTAGGTGAACAGAATCTTGTTGGAAGGGCCTCCAGCAGCCTACTCTCCAGTCTCCCCTCCCGGACTCCTGGCTAGAAGAAATGAAGTGCTGTGGACGGATGGACAAGAGAGACCCTCCACATCTGATCGTCTGGTGTCGGCTTTTCTGCTTCCTTTTTGCACTTCACTTAACTCAGCTGCTGTGTGAGATCACCTAAAATATAGCAGGCAGACACTTGGGGAGTAGCCTTCCCGAGAGGCAGCCGTGTCTCGGGGTCAGGGGAGTCCAGTCTGGGAGGAAGGAGTCTGGCCCCAGGCCCCAGGCCCGCGCCTGCTCTGTTGCTGACACAGTCTCAGATCTGCTTCCCTCTGGTGGCAAGCGCTTGCCCTGCAACCCAGACCACGTGATTTCTAGGAAGCGCACCTCCCTGCTGCCGGAGAACCGAAACTTAGGGTGGGAACTGTAGAAAGGGGAGGAGAGATCAGAAACAGCCTAGAACAAGCTGACTGTGGCACCTCCTCGGCGGTGGCCGCTCAGGTAAGAGCAGCTCTAGAGGGAATCAGTTGGAAGGGCAGTAAGATGAGGATGGCGAAGGCCCCCAGGGCCCTGTGCTAGAGGGAGAACCAGAGCAGAGGCTTGTGGATCAGAAAACAGATTTGACCTGAGAGACCGGTACTGGGCCCTGTAGACAGCAGAGGAGGAGGAGGAGGAGGAGGGCTCTTTGCTCAGCCTCAGGTGACCTTTGTTTTCTTGCCTCTGGCCCTGCCCACTTCTGCTGCAACTCTGCCCTTTCCCCCAGCCTTAGCTCCCTCACAGGGAGAAGGGATGGATGGGGCGAAGGGGAGATGCCTTCAAGGCAAAGGTTGCCTCTTTGGATGCATGGGATCTATACAGCCTGTCACCAGGAGCAGGTCATTAAGGGAATCCTCCGAAATACACATTTCTAAAACACCTCAACGTTAAGACCAAGGTTTCCTTCCAGGTGTAAAAACTTGGAATATTGAATGACAGATTCTCCCTCAGAATGTTTCAAGACAGAAAAGGAAGGGGCGGGGCTGTTGCAGGAAGCTGGCCCCAGTGATCAAAGTTTAGCAAGTACTTCCAAATTGTGGGTTCTCCCTGGGCATGGCCCCCCACACCTTGGATCCCAGCACTTCAAAGGCAGGTGGATCTCTGTTTAAGTCCAGCCTGATCTATATGGTTAGTCCCAGACTATCCAGGATGACATAGTGAGATCCTGTCTCCAGTTGGAAAATTAGTTCTATGTATCCTGCTTCTCTTCCCAGGATGGCCTCAGGCAAACCACGCAGCACCCGAAAGCTCCGGAGTTGGATAATAGAGCAATTGGAAAGTGGGCAGTTCCCAGGGGTGTGCTGGGACAATGCAGACAAGACCATGTTCCGGATTCCCTGGAAGCATGCAGGCAAGCAAGACTTCCGAGAGGACCAGGATGCCGCCCTGTTCAAGGTGAGAGGGCCTAAAGCCACCATCCCCTCAAGTACAAGATGGCGTCTGCACTGGTGTGTTCACACCCAAAGGCTTTTGTCTAGGCTTTGGGTGAAGGCAGTACTGGGAAGTAGAACCCACCTGTGTCATTTGCAGAGCCACAGTCAAAAATGACTGAGGAGTTCATGCTGGCGAGGCCGGAATACAAACCAGTGCAGGCTCATCGGAGCTCAAGGCCTGTGCAGTCCTCCATTGGGAGGGACAGGTGGAGTATGTGATACTCTGTCTTCTTCACCTAATCTCCTGCTAGGCTTGGGCACTGTATAAGGAAAAGACTAAGGAAGGGGAACTAGGAAATGCTGCTGTCTGGAAGACTCGCCTGCGCTGTGCCCTCAACAAGAGTTCTGAATTTGAAGAGGTCCCTGAGAGAGGCCGGATGGATGTTGCTGAACCCTACAAAGTGTATCGGATACTGCCACCAGGAACCCTCCCCGGTGAGTGGTCCCTGCCCCGCTGCTCCTGGGATGAGCAGATTGACCAGGAAGGCTGGAGAGAAGAGCCATCTGTGGGCTGGCAGGCCCTGCTGGCTCCCTGCTCCTGCCCAGATTTTTGTTGCTTTGCGTCCCCCCCCCCCCACTACCACCACCACCACCAACCTTTCTCTGTAAAAGGCTCTAACTTTCCTCTACCTGCAACATTTCTGCAGCCCAACCAAGAGTCCAGAAATCACCATCAAAGCGATGCATCAGGTCTGTGTCACCAGAGAGGGAAGAAAGTAAGGTAATAAATAAGACACCATCAAGAACCTGACACAGGGGCTGGGGTGAAGAGCCCTGGCCGCTCTTCCAAAGGACCTGGGTTCAATTCCCAGCACCCACATGGCAGCTCACAACTGTCTGTGACTCCATTTCCGGTGCATCTGGTACCTTCACACAGACATATATGCAGGCAAAACCCTGATGTACATAAAAACTAAATCTTTAAAAAAAAAAAAAAAAAAAAAAAAAAAACCAAAGAACTTGATGCTCAGTTATTCTTGTCTTCAAGACTCCTTTGATAAAGTGAGTGCTGGGAAGGGGAACGGGACCGGAGAGCGGGATAGAATCAAAGGAAGAGGTGTGCCAGTGATAGATGTTGTATCTGTAGGAGAAAGGGAGGACCAACTGCATGGTAAACCACTCAGACAGTGGCTGTGGTGGAAGCAGCAGCAGCTGCAGTGGAGGCAGCAGCAGCAGCGGAGTCAGCAGCGGCGGGGACAGCCCAGAGCCAGAGGAAGGTACCGTCTCTCCTGCCTCTGTCTCTGCTGCACCTCTGTCCCAGGCTTTTGGGTCCCACTCTGAGTGATCAGAGCCTTTGCCTCTCTTCCAGGTGCCTGCATTCAAGAGGAAGCCTCCATTCAAGAGGAGCCAGTGTTCATGGAGCATCAGCTTCCTCTGAACTCAGGTGCTCGGCCTTTCTGACCCCTCCCTCTCCCCTTCCTGTTAGGTCTGCTCCCTCTGACCTCGCTTACATTGTCTCCTCAGCTAGTGCTCACAACAAACCGGGTCCACTTTATCCTAGAGACAACACTTGTATGACCTGAGTATCCCATGTGGCTGGCAGATCATACTGCACAGAGGTTTTTTCTCCCTCAGGGAAAAACACAAAACATAAATACTCTGTTCCTTAGAGAGCTACACTGAGACATTTGTTTTTCTTTTTTCTTTTTGGTGTTTGACAGGGTTTCTCTGTGTATCTCTGTCTAGCCTGGAACTCACTCTGTAGACCAGGCTGGCCTCAAATTCACAGAGATCCACCTGCCTCTGCCTCCTGAGTACTGGGATTAAAGGCGTGCGCCGCCACCACTGCCTAGTGAGACATTTATTTCTTTATTGTCCAGAAAAGTCCAGTCTCAGACCTTGGCTTAAACTGCACAGCCATGAGTGTTAAGCTCTGATACAGTGACCCCTCAGTGACAGGAAAGCTTTGCCAGAAAACCCTGTTTGCAGGAAGGCATGCACGTGGAGAAGGAGGCGCCTTTTCCTTCCTTCCTTCCTTCCTTCCTTCCTCCCTCCCTCCCTCCCTCCCTCCCTCCCTCCCTCCCTTCATTTTTTAGAGACAGTCTCACATTGCCCAGACTGACCTCAGACTCACTGTGCAGGTAAAGATGGCCTGAGTCCCTGATCCTCCTGAGTGAAGGGCTTACAGATGTGTGCTGCCACGTCAGGTCTAAGGGCTTATGCAGTGCTGGGGATCGAACCCAGGGCTTTGTGTGTGGTAGGCAACCATTCTTTCAGAAGAGCCACACTATCAGCCCAAAGGTACCTTCTCTAACTCAGAAGGAGCTGCCTGAGCCCTGCAACCTTGTCTTCCCAGTGCTTGCTTGGATTCCCACTTTGGACCTCAGTTTTCCTGTTAACAAAATGGGAACACTGGACCACATGGAACCTCATTTTTCTAAAGCCTTATGCTGGTCAGGTGCACCGTGGAGAGAAGGCCTCTTATCAGCCTTCGGGCTCCTCCTGCACCTAGTAAAGCGAGGCTTCTTTTCCGTCCCCAGACTACTCGCTGCTGCTCACCTTCATCTACAGTGGCCGGGTGGTGGGTGAGGTCCGGGTGCCCAACCTAGACTGCCGCCTTGTGGCTGAGCCCTTGGTCTTGGAGAGCGAGATGCTGCAGGTGACCTTTCCCAAACCGGACCCACCGGAGCCTATCCAGCGCCTGCTGAGTCAGCTCGAGAGAGGGATCCTGGTGGCCAGCAACTCCAGAGGCCTCTTTGTCCAGCGCCTCTGCCCCATCCCCATCTTCTGGAATGCACCTAAGGCCCCACCTGGGCCTGGGCCACATCTGCTGCCCAGCAATAAGTGTGTGGAGCTCTTCAGTACCGCCTACTTCTACAGAGGTAAGGGGTCCTGGCTGGGCGGGCATCTGAGCACCTACCCCTTTCTCACTCGCCCCCGGGCCTGACCTGGGTTCTCCCACTACCCCGTCCACCAGCAGATTGTCACTACAGCCTGTGCATGGGGCCCCTGCACTTGTGGGGTACACATTATGTGCGGCCATATGTTTAGCTCTGGCAGCATTTCCCTAGCCAAGGGGGTGGTAGATGAGCCTCAGCTGGAGTTCAGCACAAGCGTGTTACTCTTGGGGAAGCATTGTAGCATTGAAACATGGATATGTGAATGTGTGCAAGTGACTTAACACAGATTTAAGCCTCGTCACCATCTCTGCACACACAGCAACACACAACTCTGTTTGTGGAAGAGCCAAGCTGTCTTCCACACACTTGCCCCACGCCACCATCTCTACCATACTGTAGGCATCTCCTAGACTGTCCCTTCCTTCTGTCCACTCTTGAAATTCTAGGTACAGCCTCAGACTCTGAGCACAGGAGCAGAGTGAGGAGCATAGAGGATAGATGTAGATGTCCCTGGGCTATGGACCCTAGTTCTGGGAGAGTCTAAGCCAACAACAGGGGTTGGTAGCCAGGCTGCTGCTTCTGAGGATTCCACGGCGCCCTTCCTACAGCATAAGGGAGGAGAGAGAGAGAGCTTGGTTCCTAGCTTCTCTAGCCCATGGCTTCTGCCCTGGCCTTGGTGTCCATGTTAGCCCATTCCCAACTTGATCTGCCTCTGGCACCCCACAGCTTCACTTTACTCATGGTCCTCTCTATGTATTGTTGGGTTTTGTGTTTGTTTGTTTGTTTTGTTTTGTTCTTGAGATAGGTCCTCACACCACTCCGGGTGTCCTGGAACTCACTAAGTAGACAGGGCCATTTCAAACACATGGTAACTCCCCTGCCCCAGCCTGAGTGCTGGGGTTACAGGCAGACACCACCATGCCTGGCCATGCTGCCATGACTGCCTCCCTCTTTGTTTCTTCCAATCCTTGACACTTTTTTTCAGACTTGGCCCAGTACTGCCAGGGCCAGGGCCCCCCACCCAAGTTCCAGGCCACACTGCATTTCTGGGAAGAGAAGCCTGGCTCTAACCACACCAAGGAGAATCTTATCACAGTGAGGGTGAGTTCCACTCCAGGAAGAGTCCCGTGTTGGTTGGTCTCAAAGGAATTTTCCCTGCGGGGAGGGAGGGGCTCCGGGTAGTGATGTCCCTGCACTGCTCATGAGGCCTGATCCTCATTCCATTCCTTACAGATGGAGCAGGCCTTTGCCCGACATTTGCTGGAGACGATTCCCGAGGAGCAGAGAGCTGCTCAGTTCCTGGTGCAGAGCCCAGAACTCCCATTGGCTGCTGCGTCACTCTGATGCTCGGGTCTCCATTGGAATAGACTTGTTCTCCACCCCGCTGGTCGGCCTGCTTTGGTGATGGCTCTATCACTGTGATGATACATCATGGCTGGTAGAGCAAGGACCATGTTCATCCAGAAAATGATTATTGAGAGCCAGGCTTGCTGGTGAATATTTGTAATCCCAGCACTTGGGAGACAGCCTGAGTGATCATGAGTTCACGGACAGACCCTGAAGAGACTTTTATTTCCTTTTGTTTGTTTGTTTGTTTTTTAAAGATATACCCTCTTTCATCTCTGAGGAACTAAAAGTTCTTGATGGTGTGATCTCAGAGGGAATTTTGCTCTTTTCCCAATCCCTAACTCTGAGTCCAAGCACTTTATATTTCCTTACTAGATCCTCATTAGAATTTAAAATAAAATTTAACTGGGTGGGATAGTGCACACTTGTAACCTTGGCACATGGGAGGCAGAGGCAGGAAGACTGTGAATTCAAGCCCAGCCTTGGTGACATGTTGTGACCCTGTCTCCACAAAATAAATAAAAGCTTTATAAAAGAGAGGTCAGTCTGTGATATGTTGGAGAAGGTATCAGGGGTTCCAGGGGGATTATAAAGGTGTAGACTGAGTACCCAGTACCTGGGTCCTCTTCCTGGTGACACCTTCAGCTTCCTTTGCTTTCCTTTGCCAGCAGGACCAGCTCGAATGCTGTCTGGGCCTAGTCTCAAACACAAGGTGATTCTCCTGCCCCAGTCTCCTAAGTGCTGGGGTGACGGACAGACCGCCATGCTGGCCATCCCGTCATGCTGGCCATACCGCCATGCTGGCCATACCGCCATGCTGGCCATACCGCCATGCTGGCCAT